TGCTTATCAATTTTTTAACATTCATAAATACAAATTTCTTAAATTTCACGTTACAAAAGATAATATTTTCACGAAATAATATAAAAATTATGCAAATACCTGGATCATAAAATCTTAGTAATTTTATCTTTGGTTTGACATATTAATCTTTTATTCACATTAATGCACATCATTTTGTGTAAAGCACACAGTTTTGAATAATTTATTTTATTTATAACTTATTCATCTGAAAAAGCACTCCAAATCTTATTAATATAATTCACTCTCATCTTATTAATATAATAAACTGCAAAAATAAATATGAAATGTCTACATTCTCATAAAATCAATGAAATGGTTATAATATACACATATATGTTTATAATAGAAATCTGCTACGCAATATGAATTATTATATGCGTATTATATGTGAATTTTATATTCCATTTAACAATATTGGCTGCTTAATTTTATCGCGCTGGATAGTGAAATGGAAAACTTATCTTCATTTAACCTTTGGCATATATCTCGTAAATGCACTCAGTAGCTTGGTAAAGTGATCGTTGGTGTATGAAGAACGTGTAATCTGAAAAAATTTCCCCATTAACCCATTAATGTCGCCGTTAGCAATTTAATTTGCTGCAGCACTTTACGTACAAGATTATATGTATATATGTACATGTATAATACTTAATGGTAATATAGCACAGCATTATAAAAGTGCTTAACTCTACGCAAATATTAATCAATTTAAATTTACTCAAATCTTTAATAAAACTAACATTAAATCTCACTATGTATTAATTATTGTAAATTCAATTCCTTTTCAATTAAATTAATTAAATTACTTCATTTAAAGTAAAAATTCAAAGATGCATTATAACGTAGCAAAAAACTCTCATCGTATTGCCGTAATTTGTGAAAATTCGTGTTTCCAGTTCAACGGTATCTCTCGCGATAAACTTGACATTCGTAAACATTTTAACTGGCTCAGCTCTTTCCGTGGCAATTTGCGTGAAAAGGCACGTTGAAAGCGAGGTTGCGCGTACTATTGGGAAGGTACATTCGTTTGGCTGGCCGTTGTTTATTTGAAGCAACAAAGTTGAATTGCCCGTTAACAAAGCAAGATCGCAAACACTTTTTACAGTAAAGCGGCCCCCTTTTTGTTTGAGTCACGCGCAGAGGCGGATCTGCGAAAATTAGCCGCCGTTTGTCTATCCAGCTATCGAGATCTCTCGACAACGTACGCGTATCTATCCACATGGAAATTGAAGCAAATTTTGAAAAAAAAAAGAAGAGAAAATAACAATATACTTGTATACATATCTCTCTGTATACAAATCGTCTCTTGTATCCAAAAAGATAAATTGCATTAAATCAACGTGAAAAAATATATAAAGCCGAGCGGAATAAAACTGTCATGTACAAAATTTTATACGCGTTTTGCCATATTGAAAGAGTGTTCAATTTAACATGTTTCACTCTGTGAAATTCCGCATTATTATGCGCTTCAGTATGATATTGTGAATTTAGCGTCAACGCTCGTAGGAATTGACGTATCAATATGTTTTGTGGTTTAATAGTTCTTGCAATCTGATTAATTTGTGTATGTGTGTATGTTAATGCTTGAGCAGAAAATATAGTATCTCGTTCTAATTTTGGCCTTATAAATATTCAATCTTTTTAGCATTCTTCACTATTTTATTAGAATTATATTTTGTATTTTTATCCGCAATATACAAAATTTGTTTATTATTAAAATTATAATTTATATATTTAATCTGTTATTTATAATATATATTTATAATATATATTTATATATATTTAATATGTTATTTATATCAATTATTATTAATTTAATCTGTTATATGTTGCATAATTAATTAATTATTTTTTCGTTAAAATAAGTTTTATTTTATATTTTATTTTATTTTTATGTTACAATTATCATTCAAGGCTATATTTGCAATTGTTACTTGAAGTTTCTTTTTAGAAACTCATCAAGCACACAAGATGCTTGATAAACTTGTTCTGATACGCAGACGGTTCAATAGTTCGAACATAGTTCAATTGAAATTGAGTTCACAAGGTAGACGAAATAGTAACGCGCAATAGCTCGTGCGGAACCTCAAAAGTCACGTATTGAATCATGTGTGATTCAAGGCTATGTCACTCAAGATTGGCTTCACCCGAGTTCCTCTGCTGTATCGCGGTTGCAAATATGACGTCACGAGAATTCTAAATTGACTCTCAAGTTATATTGAATCATATCACGTTTCGAGACTAGCTTCAACTAAATTTATAAGGAAGAACGTGATAATAAATACGGCTTTAGGCAATTACTTTATAAGAGATAAATAATTATATTTTATAATAAGAAAATAATTATATATATTTTATAAATAATTATATTTTATCAAAGATAAATAATTATATTTTATAATAAGATGTATATATTATACATACATGTATATATAATAATCAGTTAATAATTCAATATTTTTCGAAATATTTAATAAAAATGATCAAGTCACAAGAGTCGCACACATGGGGAGCAATCACGATCGAGCTGATCTTTAATTTGAGCGCAGGTGAAAGACGGGAAAGTGGAAGATACGTGAAATTTATCGTTGGTGAACGGTGCCCACTAACGAATGTGTCCCAGAGGGATAGAACGGGTGGACAATGCAGTTTTCCAATTTTCATCCCCCCACTCTTAACGGGCATTCGAGTCCGTGTTCGACCTGGCCAGCTAGTTCCCCGCGCGTGCTCTCATCCTTTATCATCCGCTACCCGAACAATCATAAAGCATGTTGATTCACGGTCCGCCGTAAATTTAGTGTTATTTTATTCTTGCTTTAACGTCGCTTAAGCGGCACTTTTAACGATTCCCGACGCGTCGCTCGAATTGCATCGTTAGACGGAGAGAAATCGTCGCACCATTTTTCTGCAATTGTCCATCGTATGACCAGAAATAAACGTTGATATTCGCTAATTTAATTGCACATCAAACAAATTATTTAATTTAACGATTACGGATTTTAAGGAAACGCAGATTACACAGTTTGAGGATCTTTTAAGAAGACAATTACGTAAATCATCACTGCAAAATGTCAGAATTTTTATGATACGTAAATGCTATAATTTGAACCTAAATACACAGCTGTCGGACGTTATGTTGAGTCGGCCGAGTTTTACACTTCGTATCATTTCTACTGCGGAGTGACAGTTATATATGATTACACCAGGAGAAAAGCTGAACTGGTATTCGTTCCGGCGACGGTGAGCAAGTAGGAGGGATGGTTGAGACAGGACGACAGGAGCCTCGCGTCCGGGAAGAGTTACCACCATTGCTACTAGTGCTCCTGTCCGAACTTGAAAAATAATTCAACACGAAGTAATGTCCTGAATATAAAATGCGCATAGGGCGTGTCAATTTCAACACAGGTATATAAGTCTGGACGGGAAACACGGTTATCGCATTTTTATTTATATAGGTTCGATACAGTTTGTAAATTTGAGTTTACAATTATGTTTATATAACGTTTATATCAAAAGAAATAAACTAAAAATAAATTCGAATTTTGAGAAGATATTTAAAAGATATTTAAAAAATGTTGTTATTTAATTCATTTACATTAATTAAATTATTTTTCTTATATTTCTTGAATTTTGTAATATATTCAAATTAGACGACGTACACTTTTAAGAATATTTTACAGTTATAATAAAATTAAATATTATTTTTGTTAATTATCAAATTTGCAATATACACTAAGAGAGTAATATTCAGTAGCAAAAAGCACGCTATCACATTCAGTAGTAAAAGAAGCGTTAGGTGCGGCGTGAAATTCAGTAGTATGTAAATTGCGCGTTCTTCTTTTACAACATTCATAGATACTATTTAATTAAATAATAAAATTGTTAGGTACTATCAGATTAAGCATAAAATGTAACTGATTTTTCAACTTTTTCCAATAAATATTTATAAAATTTATAACGATTTTTGTCATATATAAAATAAAACATTTAGAAAATATATATAAAATTTCACACATCAAATTTCGATTACGATTAATCGTCGCGTATAAAAGATAGTACAACTCTATATGTTTTATACATGTCGTAACAAGCACTAAAAATGTTATATGGTTAATGTATTCGTCGTCCCGTTTCTTCAATCGATCCTATTCCTCTCGATGATTCATTTTTATGATCAAATATATAATCTCTCGCAAGCCTGTCACACTGACTTTTTGTCCATCTTATTTATAATTAATAACATATCAAATTATACATATCATGCCGCAAGAAGACCAACGGCGTAGTAGAATTGCGAATTTAGAGAGAATTATGTCTTCAGAATTCGCGATGCGTGACAAGAGAAATTGCCATTCGTTATACATATATGTTCCTGAATTTGACAAATTCGAGTACGCGATATGATTTTCTTTTACATATCGGAATAAGCATGAATAAGTAAACGACTTATTTGGTATTTATAGGGAAGACTGACGCATAATTCAACAGCGATTATGTAATTTGAATTTAGACCATGCAATATAAGCCAAATAAAAATTGATTATATGTAATATATGTATTATTCGCGTCAAAATCTTATATAAAAGATTCCATATTAAAAAAGTAATTTTGCAATAATATGTATAAATAGAATCATTAGTATATTAAATCATATTTTGAATCATAAAATGTTTTTAGCAGTAAAAATATATTATCTAATTTCTTTTTATAATAAATTTTTACCATGTATTAAATGTGTATCGCATATTCACACATGCACTATTCTTGAAAAAGATTATTCTTATCTTTTGTATATAATTTTCTTTCTAAAAAAAATAAAGATTAAAATAATATTAATAAATTAAAATAATAAAAATAAAGATTAAAATAATAATAAAAAAAATTAACATCAATACATACCTTTTCTGCCATCATAATAATCTAAGGACAATCTCCCTGTGATGTTAAATATTTATACATTAAGAGATATTAACACGGAATAAGAGTGTAACACACATTGTTGACATGTTTATTCATTAAAATTTCATGAAATTCATGACATTCTCCGTGTCCCTTCGAACGAAAGGATGTAGCACGATATCAAATTACCTTCGCATCCTTTGGCGCTGCGCGGTCGCTGTAATCCCATTGACTTTAAGAAGCATGCTCTCAAAGAAACGTCGTGAATTGCGAGGACGAAAAGAATGTTCCGGAACATTGAGATCAAATGGAGTATATCGCAAGTCATTTAATGAATTATTTGCGCACAAACCTAAAGTTACGGAACAGTACAGCAGGAATTTTGTGCAAGGACATTTTTTCTTGTTTATTTCCATCACCATTTATATTAAATTCCCACAAATTTTTTGTCATCGCTTTAAATGCAATCGAAGAATAGATATAAATTGATTGTATTTTTATTAAGCAAAGAGAAGTTGAGGTCTTAAAACACAATCTACGAGGAAGACTTGTGATGCGTTTATTTATTTTTTTTTACACTACTTCAATTCTTCGATCGCATTATGCTAACAAGTTATGTTATTTAATTGCTAATCTACGATTAATTATTAACTTATGATTATAATATAACTTATCAATTTAATCATAAATTTTTGCTGTTATCGTATGTGAGATCACGATTCTCTCCGATATGATTTATGTAACATTTTTATGAAATTTCCAGAATCAAGCTTTATAATTATCCGCGATTATGTAGAATATATAAGTAACTTTTATCATAATTTTTAAATCGCATCCATCTCTATTTGCGCCAATCTCTATTTTATAAATTAATAATTACTTTCACGGAGCACATTATCATGTCTGGCATAACACGATTTATATATTTTAAAAATCTACAAATATATCTTACGATTTGAATCGACTCACATTTTAGGTACATTTTAGCATTGAAAACAGCAAGAAATAAGCGTGAAATACTGTCGAGTGTGTGCTAGAGCAAGAAAGTTTGGCTGTTGCGCGCGAGTATTAGAAGCCACGAAAACGGAAGCAGAAGTCCGGGCCAGTGCCTGACGTTATTTCCGGAAGAGACGTATCCGGCGTCACGTTGCATGGCTTCCGTGCGTTCTCCTGTAACAGAAAAGTAAAAAAAAGGAGAGCCGAGTCTGTGTCAGCGCTACACTCGTCAGCGATTCTCGTATCGCTCTCGTAATCGTGATATGAATATTTACGACTACAATATCGAATTAACGCGGTTTCACGCGATATCATCTAATGAGTGTCATGTCAGTAAGAACGCTTCACACGAGCGGACATTGAAAAATTGCTGTATTAGGATATTGAATCTGTATATCGCGCTCACGCTGGAAATCTTGATACTTTTTGAGAATAATGACACTACCCACACTCGTAAATCAATGTCACTCCAAGATTACGGGATTATAGGTTTCCCCGTGTTACAAGGCATCCATTAATTATCGCGTTGTTTGAAGGATGTCGATACGCATTTTTCCGTGTTATTTCTTCATTCTCCGCTAGTTAAACTTGACATAATATTGAAAGAAGATCGATTCTACAGCGTTATGTACTAATTACATGCACAATATGTAGATGTAAAGTAGATTTAAAAATGTAATTAACACAAAATTTTTATGAAATATTATGATATTTTATGATATTTTAATCGATAAAGATTTTTATATTTTATATTTTTTACATATTTTAATCTCTCATGTATTGAATCACAAAAACCTCGATATTGTGATTTATTATTGATATTATTATGATATATTATTTATCTTCGTTTCGAAATAAATTAACTCGCACTTGAAATTTGTACATCCACATTTAAAGCAGTCAGTCCAAATTGTATGTGACAGTTTTACTCGAAAACACTTGCAAATAGTCTGATATCTGACATCTGCATATTACCCCAAAAATATCGACGACGTGTTCACAAACTCCCCGCATATTGTACGATGTAAATGATACATAGCCGATGCTAAAGAACATGCTTCGCACATATGGCGCCTAGCACGTGTAGACGCATTCAGCTGTGCTTACACGAGGGCGGTTAGTTTTGCCAAGATTCAATCCGCAATATTTCCAGCAAGACGCCAACGGCAATGACCGTACATCCCGGGAAGTTTAAAAGAGTCGTAAATATTTCAATCGAGCTGCCATCGCGAACATAAATTACTCTGGCATTGGCAAAGCGGCGCGAATAAAGGGGAACGTTTCGCGCTTTGATTTCGCGTGGATCCATTTTCGAATTCGTTTTTTCATTTACACATCGAAACCAATGTCTATACCCGATCGTGTCGCCGGCCGATGTAGAAAGTAGTTAAAGTCTTAATGAGACGAGGAAACCTTAATTCCCAACCATTGCTAGCCCTTTGAAGCTTAGATTCCAATCGTGCCTTCATCCCCACAGTTCTTTACGACCATTAACGTGCGCGAAAACGAGAGCTGAACTTTACAGAGAAGCTGCTAACAGGTACTTTATTTTCTGAAATTACGCTTTTAACAATTTCTTCTCCGATTACGTTGATCCTTTAATGGTAAGAACATCTCGTGGTGCACGAATAAGTTCACTGTGTTGCTTTCTGATCTTCAAGAAAAGGAAAATATTTATAATTTTAAGCGTATTGTATGATAAGAAATTATTACAAGATATTAAATGATATCAAATTTTATGAAGACAATTTAAAAACATTTTGTTTAAAAAATACTTTTTCATTAATATTATTGTAGGATAACTTGATTAGAATGATGATAATAATAATAATAATAATGGACCATACGAGGAAGTCATACAAAAGCGTGATCTCTTCTCGATTAATCGCGCCCTTTCAGCAAACATGAAATTATCAATCGATCGTATAAACATGTGATCAATATTCTAACCAATATTTGAGTTCATGCACGTGTACCGACTAATTTCAAATTAATTACTAGTTTCACGATATACGTGTGCGAAGTAACAATATATTACAAGATGTAAATTCAATTCTTGATTGCCGAATCAACTCATACTATAAATTTATTTATTGCTGCGAAGAATATGATTTCTAACTCTTATTGTATATATTATTGAATATACCATCCACATGCCAAATTAGTTTAATATTGTCTCGCATGAATATTTTATTAAATCTACATGTATTTTCAAAATTAAACGTGTTAACATTTGCTACTGGCAACCTGTTGAAAATCTCGTGTCTCGTCTCTTGCGTCATTATTTTAAAATGCCCGTAGTTGCGCGATAAAGGGATAATTATCGATACGCGTGGCGTAGAATTCGATGAGGATCGATAACGATCGGCTGTACTGTATCTCTAGAATCCAGGCGACAATATGCTGCTCAAGCATGCCTGCGTACTGCCGGGTATGCGCCCGATCAGGTATTTGTACGAAAGCAGCGGCGTCATTAACCGTATATGAATTGCACGTTCAATAGAGGCGTGCTTGCGATCACCACCATGAACGTCGTGCATCCGTGTTAGTGCAACGGGGAATGCGACGCGCGTGGTACGCGGCACGCGGCACGCATACGCGTCGTAACTCCACGCGTCGATTAAAGCGGAAGCAAAATCCTTGCACGTGTGATGAATCCATATCCGGTGGTGCGACGAGGATCTATCATGAGCAGTTTGCGATATATCGCGGGTATACGGTAACATTTGACAGTCGATATCTACTTAGCACCTCCTACATGGACAGTGTAGAATGTAAATGACGCGCAAATGCGTATTGTATACTTGATTATATTACTGTTCCGAGTGTCGTGACTCCGACACCATAATTTCAATTATACTTGAGAAAATTTATATTCCTTTTTAATACTCTTTCTCTAGATATATATATATATATATATATATATATATTTTTTTTTTTTTTATTTCAATATTTTTTATTCTTGTACAAAATAATATTATTTTAATTCAGCATTTCATTTTAATTTGCAAACAATTATATGTTCTAAATCATCCTTGATTAATAAAAAACTGATATGCAAAAGATGACACCGAACTATTATTGTTATCGAGAATACCCGTTACAATTAATCCGAGCTCGGTGAAACTCATACTCCCTCCATTTTTTTGCCAACCTTTGGTTGGCAGCAGTCGGGAGTAAAAAGGTAAAAAATTACAAGTAAAATGATATCTTAAAACTAATTATAATTTATCTTTTTTGAAAATAATACGAAAACAAAAAAAACGGTATATTTAATTATTGAATGTAATTATAAAAATTGAGATCGTACAATATTTTTGCCTTTTATGAATCATTAACATTTAAAATACGATGCGCCGAAAATATTACAATTAATTTATGATAAACAAGAGAATTTTTTCATTATTATTTTTTTATTTTTTTATTTTTTTATTTAAAAAATCTATCCCGTAGTTTTCCATTAATCTCTAACTATTTCAACCTTTTTTCATTTTTTTAAACATTGCAATCTTTTATTATTCAGCGCCGTTCACGTTATTTTTCACGCCCAGAGTATTTATAAGCTCCACTCTAAAAATTGACTGCGATATATTATAAAATAACACACGCTTTTAATTATGAAAGGATTGATTAGCGGGCTGTGAGAGCGAGAACGGAATTAAAAATTAATTTTCAATCTGCGATAGCGGTTCAGAGTACGGATAGCAAAGTATCACATAATTTTTCTTGTGAATCAATAATTTTTCAGTACAAATTTGAGACGAGGAAAAGGCAATACGCGAGCCATATTTAAGTATAGTGAATTAAAAAATGCACAGTACAGTTAATTTACAAAGTTAATTTGCTTGCACCGTTACATACACTGCCTATTAATTACGGTCTCGATTTTTTTTATGTAGTTTGTATTAGCATTTAATAAGTATGCGAACATGATAACCGCGCGAAATTATAATGATCTACGAGAGTTAAAAGTTTACAAGTAAGTTGCACTTAGCTCATCCGTCCGCTTTTAGCAACTCCTTTAGACATTGTCTCGGAAAACTGTCCGTTGGCTTTATAAAGTTATACCTAAAGCAAGATAAAAGAGTACAAAGTTGTTTAAAAATGAAAATCTTTTGTTAATGGATACGCAATTTGTTGCTTTACATTCTACCTGCGTACTCAAAAAATAATTATCTCCTTTAGTTAATGATAAATTTTGGATAGATAATTATTACAAAATAATTTAAGATCTCTTTGCATAATAAAGATGAAAGATGAAAAATAAAAATCTAGTTTAAATCCATCTGAGCTACGATTCATACTAATACGAGCGCTTTAACTGACTCAGAAACTCATTCATTATAATACGCATTAATTTATCAAATGAAATAAATGGATTTCGTGAAATTGCAAAATCCTCATTGTATGGATATGAAAGAATTAGTATAATGGATCTGGAGCACGTGAATTTCACTTTGTTAGTATTTTGAATACAAAATTTAATAATAATATCGTACGTTAAGAGGACACAAGACGCCGCTAGAGAAACAGAGAGCGAGATAAGAAGCGAGAGGAGAGATCTAGAAGAACGGAGAGTTTGAAGCCGGTATAAATGACAGTCTAGGGAGCCGTTAGGTATTAAACTCGCTGCAAACTTCCGCAGTCCGTCGTGCTCGATATATATTTAAAATATCTTGGAAGTATCCATGAATCGTCTAGACTGAGCCGGCGACGTACCGAGGCACCAGGGATTCGTAGGATGTCGGAAAGTGATATCATAACTCGCTACAAAGGGGAACGTCCCGATTTACGGAGTTATTTAACGCCTATTTTCCTCTGTAATTTCTTAAACTGTTTTAATTGATTTCCTCGATGTTGCAAAGACATCTGCAATGTAAATATTATTTCCTTTCGTAAATGAACTTCCTTCCTTTAATATACTTTTACGAATGGAAAGAATACGAATTTTTCAATGAATCGTGGTAAAAAAATTTGCAAACATCAAGAACATCCTATTAAATATGTTTTACCAGCATCTTTCTTGAGGTATCATCGAAAGTTCGCAGCGAGTTGCAAGGTGGTGCATCGAGCTCGAAGACAAGCAAAAAAAGAAAAACAAGAAGAAAGAAGGACCACGTTTAAATTCAGATAGTGAAATTAAAAGAGGTCAAAAGGGAGAGAGAGAGAAACTTTCGACGGGACCCTTTCCCCGCCTGCCATTCTGGACGAAGCTGGATAGCAAACGAACAGATCCCGACAAGATCTCGCCTCTGCCCTGGGCGCACAAGCAGCGCGAAAACTCGGCGATGTGCAATTAAGAAAATTGAATCCCAGCATAATTAACTTTCTTAATTAATAGAATCGCAAAATTGTATCTTTAATCCGGCCGCAACCATAAGTGCCGTTGGCAGATGCTACGCTCGAGCGGCAAATGACGGGAAAAACAAAGAAGAAAAAAAAGATATTGGAGATGGGTCAACGTGGTTCGGGACTTTCGGGAGAAAGATGCGCGACGAGGACAGCATACAGGTGAAACGAAGATGGTAGGATACCGCCGCAGGGGATGGTAACGTCGACTGCGACGCCGGAATGGGGAGTCGCTGTAAGTTTTGATATATGCGCGACATTATTTACGATCGCATAAGAATTAGCTCAGACGGCCGCCAAAGCCCATTCCCCGGTAAGAGCCGTTGCAAAAACCCGGCATCAGACGCGGACTGGCGCTGCACTTGAGACGTTTTTGCGCACGGTGCATTGGCTTCCTCAAAAGTCGTTAAATCCCGCGCCGCTTTCGACAAATCGCGCGCAAATGGCGCTTCTTGCCGCGCGAATGTTCATGGGTAGAAACGTTCGTGGATACTTGAGGACATGAGGCATGCGAGGACGAAGGGCTGTGTTGTATGCCTCTTGTAATTTAGTGTAAGACATTGGAATCTAATGGACTACAATTATATCGAGAGAAAAATGATTATATATAATTAAATTAGAAATGATTATATATAAAATATTTGAAAAAAAGATACGATAATATAATATTTGATAAAAGAATTTAGCAAATAATAAATAATTATTTTCCCTAAATAAAAAATGGCTATTTTCTGCATTAATTAAAATATCGATATTAAATGGATTAGCGATGAATTATTAGTGAAAATTGATTAGAGAGGAGATGCAAAACTTTTATCAAAGCTTCTAATAAAAATTTAAATAAAAGTATAAGCTGTCTTATCCAACTTCATCTTTTCCCTTTCCTCTCCTTCTTATCCCTCAAAATAATTTAATACTTATTTGCTTTATAATAAAATAAAATTAATAGTAAGTTCCCTCCAGAAAAGTAATTTTATCGTGATGCAATATCTCATACTTTCAGCTATCATTAATTATCCACTGCCAATTCATGCCGGAATTCTATTAACATCGTTTACTACTTCGACGAATCAATACAAATTCATATCAATGAATTGAATCCCGAGTCAAAAATTCATACGAAAACAATCGGATGCACTTTATTTTAATCCGCCTCCTACGAATCCCGCGAGGCGTTTCCATATTTTGAAACGCGTTCATCAAATTGCTAATCGAATCAACACAACGTCTGTCCCAATAAAATTCAATAAAATACTTCCCGCATACCGTCGCAGTTTCATCGTGCGGACTTTAATGATCGACGGTGGTTTTTAATGATCTTAATTCAAAGTCTCTAATCTCGATAATAACAACGATTATCAGTTTAATTCCAATTATCGGTATAAATGCCAATAATTAATCGTAAGATGATCAATTATTGGCTATCTCTGCGACAATCTCGAGACAGCAGAAAAGAAAAGTTTCTCTCCCTCCGTCGATTTTTCGATAAGATTGAACATAAAGTTTCGATATAATATCTCAGCAGACACTGTTATACGGGAAAATCGTGCGCTGCTGTTAAAACAGTTTTTAAAAAATAAATGAGAAAATATTGAAAATATTTACGATAATGTTACATACGTGCAATTGGAGTAAAAAACTAGGATAAACATTTGATTGAATTTTTCAATTTTACTACAATTCAATTATTAATCTTAATTATTAAGAAAATTTGATAATTTTAATACCACTTCTCTCTGGCACATGATATTCGCGCGTCATCCAGCAGAAATATTTTCATGCAGGCACGCTCATAAAAATGCCCGCTGTCGCGTTTAATCCCAATGCAATGGCACTTTCTTCGGACTCAGCTCGTTCGTACCGATAAAAACTGCGCGAATTCGCAATCTGCAAAACTAGAAAACGAGTGGCCGGACTTCTGATTTATCGTCGGGCTCTCGCGCGGTCGCGTATCGTGCCTGCGGTTGATGTATCGTACACATATACACATGTGAGTGAAGTGCTGTTGCAAAGTGACTCACAATCAGACGAAAATTCAGTTTTGCGATACGTACGAGTGAATTAAACGCGATTTCTTCCATGCGTCGTACGCTATTTTCTCGTGTTTCTTCAAAAAGGACAGCACGATTCAATAAATTCACGCATTATATATGTATAAATTATGTATTACAACAATTATTCTTAGATATTACGCATTTGTACGATGGATATTTAAATCAAGTTGCGAGATGACACATTTTTAATTACTTGTTTCTTTTTTTTCTACCGTGATTTACACACGTTAAGTGTAGCGTAAATGTAACGAGTAAATGTATAATTTATACGTGTGTTGCTTCAATCCTGTGTGTGCAAAACGTATTAATATTATATTCACTCGGAGATTTACTCCGATATACATGAGAATCCTACACGGAGTTATAACTATACAGTATTTACGCTGTGTTTACGATCGTATAAATAATAATAAGAAATTTCGTAAACTCTGTAAAGTATGATATGCGTTCATAATTGCATGTTATCTCTATGCTATTAAAATATAATGAATCTTTATTAGCGTCGAATTACTAAGAGTTTTTGTTAGAAAATTGTTTTCTCTCTCTTCTTCATATTTTTATTCTTTTAAAAAATATGACATTATTTATAAGGTTACATAAATTTTCTCATAATTATGTGTGTATTAAATTTATCAAATATTAATTTTTAGAAAATGATGACGCAGGACCAATAAATCGGAAAATAAATGGCATTATTTGATATTTCGCAGCGTTTGGCTCTCGCAAAGTTCGGTCCGATTCTCCGTTATTGTCGTTATTCGCGCGATATTCATTTTCACGTATCTCGCGATATTTTTATGTCAATATACGCTCGTAAAAATCGGGCAATGCACTTCGCTTAGCTACGCGGGGGTGGTAGTTTTCTTCGCTCGCACGACATAAACCGCGTAAATCCGCAATCTACGAGGCTGCGAGTCGCCTAAGTTCTGATTTATAGTCGCGCGGGGCACGTTTCGCGTGCGGATAGACACACAGGAGGGACAGATAGCGTACATACGCGTTTTCGCTCGGGAAAAATGCGACACCACGCGCCACGGGCGCTTCCTCGCAATAACCTCCGAAGGGAAATTCACGATAATAGAGACTACCCATGTGAATCGCATGCAAGTGTCCTTGCGATCCTCCCGTGTCTGCTTCCTAGATACGTTCCTTCGTCGGTTTTCATCCCCTTCCGTGCCATTCGTTCCATTTCAGCCAGCAGATTCTTATATACCTTTCGGTTTCTGCTGATATCTTCATAATTTTCCTACTTCCCCTTTATTACGATATTTTTCTCTTCATTCTTTAGTCTTGGATTTAGTTTGGCATCGTATGCAAAAAAAAATGGAAAGGAAAAAATCAATATTTAACTCTACAAAATGTATTAGAAATGTAAGAACGAGAGAAGCAGCAAATAATCTCTTTGTTCTTCTCCCCTTGGCCTTATCGATTGCGCTTAAAACTATTTACTTTCATTTTCCTTCTTCCAGTTTCATATTTACTCTTTCAATTTAACGGAGAGGGAGAGAAGGAGAAAAACAAAATAATACGTGTAACGAGAAACTTGAACGGGGAAAGGAAAACGAAAAGAATCCCCGCACCGCTTCCTTTCCTTCCGCAAGTTTCTTCCTTTCTCTCAAACTCTACTCCTTCTTCGTCACCGTCCTTCTACCTGTGAACCGCAATTTCTCTCCTTCCGCGATTCCTCATTCCTCGTTCCTCGGACATTCCCGCTTCTCGTCTCTCGCGCAGGAGTACACACTCTCAGAAGCGAGCGGTCTTCCGTCTTTTCCATCCCCCTTCCGTTCCCTTTCATCCCCGTCGTGGCGACCGAGGGGCTGAGCTAGACAAATAGCTCCGGCGTGAAATACCGCCGCCTCTTTAAAACTTTAAAGTGTTTCGAGTAATCCTAAGGCACGACTTTACATCATGGTTGTACCCCGCCGAGGATACACGCAAGCGTAGAAGGAAATGGAATATCGGTGCGCCCGCGGTGGGCTTCCGACTACGCTTGTGGCACATCCGGCGACAGCGAGATTTCCCGGAAGATTGCGAAGCGCGCGTAAGTACCGTTATTACATCATTATGTCCCGTAAAATATATATAAATTTATATACTTTCTGTTGCTTTATACATTCGTTAGTTCTCCAATACTTTCTTGTCTATTATTGTTTTCAATTAATATTTTTATATAAAAAAATCGCGCATATAATCGATAATTGTGCGTGGGAAGAGAAGAAAAAAATGATACTGATAATTATAATCAAATTATTTATGGGTATCAAGTCAGTGAAAAAAGATAGTGACTAACCTTCCTCAATGATTAAGGTGACAGTAGCTGATCGACCCTCCGTTGGCCTGCACGAATAGTTTCCAACGTCATTTTGTGTCACCGCCGCCAAAGTCAACACAGATACTGTACGTGCCGCACCCCTTTCGGTTTCCACATTTATTCCCCCGCGCGCTGCCTGGATGAAGAATATATAAGCAAACTCAACGAGGAAGTAAGTAATGAGAAATTTTTGGAATATTTGAAAGATATAGAAATACAAAACTCATATTTCTCCTTTTCTAAAACTTATGGCAAGATTCGAATTTATTTATACATATATGTGAATATTGATTAACTGCCAAAACTTTTTTATTTTAAAAGAACGTAGAACTATTCTTCTAGATATATTAAAATTTTGTCATATAATTCATGTATTTAAGAAAATAACAAGAGAAATATATGAGTTTTTGTCATTTTCCTTGCATATATTGTGTGAAATCTCATTATTTTAATTCAAATTCTATCTTTTTTATTCATGTATCAATAAATATAAAAGCGTTCATTATCATTAAATCAATAGAACAAGTATAAATTTATTCTAGACTTCTAAAAATCAATAAATAAAAGTGTTTAAAATAATTAATATAATAAAAATTTTCTCTCTCTCTCTGGAATGCATCAAGTTACGAGTCACGCATTCAAAGGAATAATGAAATTTATTACGCGTCCAAGATAAAATTGCAATATCAGATTTATCGACGTTCTCAGAAATCTCTTTATCTCGTGGCACTTTAAATATATAAATAAATTAGTAGCCTTAAAATTTAACAAACATGTTTCAAAAATTTATTAAAAATTAACAAATATATATTATAATTTTCCGCACACATATTTATATATATTTATATACGTTTATGAAAATTTTCTTAATAACAAACAATAAATAATAAAAAGGAAGGCATCATCTAAAGAAAATCAATCTCAACTCCAAAGTCGCGACCAACGGGCGTAATCGCGACAAAACCGCGTTGACTGTCAAATCGATCAACCTTTCTACGTGTCACGTAATGCGCCGAAAGAAACAGCCGACGCAGGCTACTACGCAAACAAAAATGTAGAAGACACGATGGGGGCTACATGACCCATATCCCTTCGCGTCGGTCGTTGATGATATACGATCGCTCCTTTTTTCACCCTTCTCCCCTTCCGATTCCCGATTCTCAAACAGAAATTTCATTAGTACGACCCCGCATATCCAGCTGAGGCTGCATTACCTGGAATGTTAGGAGTTTGTTATCCCGAAGCCATTGTACACCCCTGATGGGACGGGTCTGATACGGCGACAATATGACGCATCTCAGGGTGATCGTTGAGCCCGACGGCACCCTTTGCTCCCGGGGTCCCATTATGTCCGCCACCGGAGCTGTACTCTCATAACCTGAAAGTCATGTTTGAACAAATATCATGCGGTAGCTGTGAGAAGCAATTGAATGATCGCATCGTGACGGGATTACTCGCACAGCCGATGGGGATAATACTTGCTGCAGCGAGCCAGCAAATTTCCTAATCGAATCCGAAGTACTCGGTGGAATCTTGACTTAAAGGGGAAATGCAATTAGATTTTTTAACCCACATTCTGCTTTAAAAAAAAGCTTAACCACATCTTACGAAAATTATGCATACGTATCAACTTTCGTGTAAAAATTATATGAAATCTGTATATAGCATAATATTAATTTTAATGTGTCTATAAAAATATTTTTTTAATGTGCCTATTTTTATTTACTTCATGTAATTATATTGTATATTTATTTACTTCATGTAAATCATAATATTTCAACAAATTATATTTGATTATGGGATAGTTAATTTTGTTTGCTATTAAAAATAATTAATTGTAGCTTAGATACTTTATATTGACTTTATATTGACTTTATATTGACTTATATTGAATGTAATTATTAAAACATTAATATTAATATTAAAAAATTAATATTAAAATAATAATCCTAAACTTTTTCTATTAAAAAATTTTTATCTGAAAAAGAAAATACGTACATTATTTACTTTAATTAAGCATGACAAGCAGTAGAAACATTCATCGTATGAATATAATCAATGTTCTATTATTTATATTTTTGCAAAACTAGTATAAGCATACAAAGGGAATATTTTGAAAGTACTTATACATCTGTATACTTTAATTCATAAAGAAATTTCTATTAAATCTCAGAAACACATTCATTCGAAACGGCGGACAAACGGCGGCACATGCAAAAGGAATTGCAACTTTTTAATTGACAGCGTCATAGTGAGCGTGATGTATCGCGAATACCCTCTAATTGACGCAATCCGTCCTCGGTTTTAATATCCCGACAAACGGGATTAATGCATTCTAGATCTATCTCCCTCCTCCCTTTTCGACGAAAAGAAACACCCAACGATGCGAGAATGGACGCTTTTGCCGGATTCTATCAAGAATACTTGACGAATGTTATGCAATGATTTTAATTAATGCCAGGGTTATATCCACTCTCGTTGGGTCGGTGTTTCGCCAACGCGGCACAAAGTAGAGTACGCTGAAATAGCAAGAAATATGTAACACGCTCACACACATAGAGACGTTAAGCTTGTATATTTTAATTTAGAAAGCAGGGACAAGTACTCGTTTAATGCGCGCGAGCTATCACGCATCGCTATGTGCATTGGCTTTTTATAAAGTGTACCGTAAATTACCTCGCTCCTTGAAAACTCTTCGGTTCCCCATTACATATGTGATAAATTATGAAAAAGCTTTGAGTTGCAAACTTTGATCGCATGACGAAACAAAGTCTCATTATCCTTCTCTTATACATCATATCTACGCGGTTAACCGCTCGTTTTAATCTAGAAATATTGCGACTCTCTTCTTTTAGAAAAGAATGTACATAGAAATGGGGTATTTATATTGTCGAAGATGATAAATTAAAAATGAAAAATTAATATGAGGAAAGTTGCTTGACATAGAATTATAATGAAATACAATTTCACATGCATGAAAATGGCATACAACAACGTTGTCTATATTTTTCGTGGCTAATTTTGATCACTAATGTAAGTTCTCTTCAAACAGAATTAATAATTCATTATTATCTTCGCGAAGGAAAAAAAGGAGGCCGAAAATGGGATTGTCTGTATGAGTTTCGTATAAAAATATATCGAGGCACGTATACATTATTCAACGAGGACTGCGGTCGAGACTCATTTAGCGAGCCGTTCCTATCCCTTAGAACTCTGAACTCTCGGTGGCCGACGAAGAAAAGGATACCAAGAATCCATGGCGGGACCGCGAGATTAAGGATAATCCTATTAGACTTAAATGAATCCGGCGACGACTGCGTTCCCTCTAGCGAAATATTATGTTATGCTGTTATTACTGTAAACTCGCTCGCCGACGTTTCTTTCCTGAATGCGGTCCCGCTTGTCTTTTTCTTGCCGGAAACTTTGTGGATAAATTCTCTCATGATCCGCCAACACTCTTTCTCTCTCTCTCTGAGTAGCAATTCTTAAATGTGGATTCGTCATGTCGATATGCCAAATATGTGTATAATTTCGGGCTCCAAGATTATCCGATTATTTACACTATTTTTCTAACAATCCATTTATAAATAAATTCAAAATTTAATATTTAAATTTTATAAAATTAAGTGGCATAACAAAATTCAATAATATTATAATTGTAATAGAATAATTTCCTAATTAATTATTTATAATTAGAATAATTGTTAATTAGTTATAAATTGACAAATTACATTTTATTATCGTAATGTTATGTGACGTCATTGCCTGTATATAGTGCAATATTGATATATACACTCAGATATATAGGGTGTTTTTTAATAAATGCGAAAAATTTTAGGAAATGATTTTTTGTCGAAAATTAAGGGGGGGTTTTCATATAAACATATACTTCTACATCCCTTCATGTGAAGTTACACTCCTCCAAAAATGGAGATATAATTTTTATCTCCAAAAGTAAAATAAAAACTTAAAAATAAAAACCTAATTTTAGTTTTTATTTTTTAGGTTTTTAGGTTTTTATTGTAATTTTGTTTTTGTTCCCAATTTTCCCAATATTTACTCTAATTTTATTTTTATTTTAAAATTTAACTTCTCGTAATTCTAAACCTATGCTATTTAGCATCATGTTGTACATGATAACGTATTTTTTTTCTTGAAAACTACTGATTTTATGAAAAAATAAAAGAAATGAAAGTTTCTAAATAAATCAAACTTTTTAATGCATATTTTTAGATGATCATATTCCGCCCATTAAAAAGTTCTAATACAAAAATTGAATAGGGATTACTAGTTTGATCCCCTTATAATAATATGGGAGGCTGAAAAACAAATTAATAAAATAAATAACCTAGTAGAAAATATCCACCTAATTTCATTTCAAATTTGAAAAATAAAAACCTAATTTTTATTCTCATTTTTGAAGAAGTGTTAATTAATTAATAAATTAACCTTAATTTTCGACAAAGAATCATCTCCTATTTTTCGCACTTATTAAGAAATACTCTGTATATTAATATTGCATCATAGTGCAATAATACATGTATCTTAAACATGATTGCATGGAGAAAAAATTTACTACCATTGTATCATATCATTCGCGAGGGCGTGGAGCGTTGCATTTTCCTTCGCTTTGTTTTTCTTTTATTTATCTGTCGCGAAACTTCGCCAATATAGCTGGCAGCGATCTGTGACCATCTTTAAGTCTTGCATATATCGCGAACAAAAGCGAGGAGAAACTTGGCGCGAGTATATTTATTAGTCGAGTGAAACTGCGTGGAGTTCTAAGCGCAAACACGTCGTAGTACGAAAAGAAATATCCTTGGTTGTAACTTTGCCATTAAGTCAATGCAACTACATTTCAGAGTATAATGTTTGAAAAAAATATAATAATTAAATTTCTAAAGTATGTTCAAATTTTTGTGTATGTTCAAATGAGAGAATTGAAAAGAAGTCGATAAATGTATTATCAAACATGTATATCGTGTTTCCGCGACATTTGCAAATTTTCGTCGACGTTTCTAATTTTCATCGATGATATCAAGAGCATGGTTCAACGAGAGGACGCGACTTTCCGTAATCTGTCGTTTTGGCACGAACGAAAAAGCGTAAATTCAAGGACGTCGAAGACGTCAGAGAGGATATGTCTGAAATAAAACGACGTTACTTAAAAAGAATTATGAAGCGGCTGAAGAAAGTTCGCAAGAAGAATCGACGACGACGGATCACGAGCGTCAAAGCCAGAACGGTGTCGTACTTATCCTTAAGTGATTGATGTTGCTCGATTCTGCGGGAAAAATAAAAAGTAGCTTCTAATAATTTTTTAAAGGGTATTCGATGTACTACGATGAGAGCATATCGGAGGTTATTAATATATTTATAAAAAATGTGACACTTCATTAATGTCGACTTTCGAGTTATTATATCTCTCTCTTGCATGAGATATTTGATGCTTACGAGTTTAAATAATTTTTGTTTAGAAACATAAAATATTTATTTATCTTTTTGTCTGCCATTATTTATATTTCACAGGAAAATATATACAAGATTATAAGCAATCTTTTACCAATAATTTTCCCTTTATTATACATCAAACTATTGCATTTAAGTCACTAAACGTTGACAATATCATTAAATTAATTAGACTTAAGACATGTTCAAGCATTTTGTCGTTTATGCACATATAACATGCGCAAATATGATAATAAACTTTCATATAATATACCTACTACAGAGTTTCATGGAGTATTATAGCGAACAACAGAAATAACGCTGGTTTCCCGTTCAAAAGTCCGCCAGCGACCATCTAAAGCAGTAAACAGGTATCGCATAAGTTTTAAACATTGTAACACTCATTGTAACACTCGTGAAAGTTCAAGTTAATCTCTCGTTCATAGTATTGACTATCCTATACAGAGGTTACGGGTTTTATTATATATTTCCAATATGGTTGTGACATAAGGACACATAGCTTTAAGCAAAATTTCCAATACGATCAAATTTTATAGATATGCTTCTGAATTTCTTAAAAATAGCATAATATTTAAAAAATGTAAAACAATATCAAAGTAAATATAAAAGATTCGAATGTATACACTAATAAAAATTTAAATATATATATATATATATATATATATATATATATATATATATATATCGATCGTAATTTAACAAAAATAATACAAAGATAAATAATGGAATAAGCATTCCATAAATAAATTATATATATATTAAAATAAATAAAAAAGAATATTCTCCAAGTTCATTATAATTTATATTTATATTTATAAAATATCTGAGACAAATGTGATATGATAATTAAAATAAATATGATTTCTTTAAAAATCTGCAGCGTTTAGCCATGTTACCTATATCGCGTTGACATACATAAAAACAGAATTAATGGCGACAGTGATACCTTACATTTGTAACGATTGTATTACAAGAAAGCGCGTTTTCTTCGCTCGATAATTATCAGTAAGCTTAGTGCTGTACCTCGCGGCTGATTAATCGCGCTTTTTCCAACTGATGCAATCTTAACGACGATTCAACCAGTGCTTTTGGTTCCGCTACTTTCCAAGTGGTAAAACAAAGCGGAAATTGCCAGTCGCTTGCGCGATGAAAGTTATATTTTCAAATCCCTCGGTAACTGGGTCACTCTTTGTTCCAGAGGGCATTTTATAGATTTATAGTAGTAAAAATTTTTATTACGAAATAATGTTCATCGCGCACATTTTTTTTACGTTCGTCCATAGGGCACATACCAATGAAATGCAGATGGATTTCCAAAAAAAAGAAAGAAAAAAATAATACTTCTTAACCGACCGCGTTATCGCGATCCGCGCATAACTTTCAACTAAGTTTTGATTGCATAATTGTACGCTCGTCCGACTTTCCGTGCCGATCAAGAAATTCATAAAATAATTTGCATGATATAATTTCCGACTATAGGATACAGGGGCGTTCCATTTTATATATAGTGCGCACACCCGATTCAGCTAATGCTGATTACGCGGGGAAATTAATTATGCAAGTCTGCGCAAAATATTATCGCTGATATCACAGACGGTAAAATAAGTCCGCCGTCAGTGAAATTAGAGCCACAACAAAATGCAAATATGCGTATGATCATTTAAATTTCAATAATTAATTTCAATTGTTACATATATATACGTATAATATAAAACTTAATAACACAAATTTTTCCAGATAAAATTTACTCATTACTGAAAATATAGTAAACACAAATTAAAACAAAAATTAATAAACTTTAAAAATAAAAAAGGACAATATTATTAAAAGTATAGTATGTTTACAGTTTTTGATTTACATTGTTAATTGTAATCAAGGAATATGTGCTAAAAGTCAAATAAATTTAAATTTCTTCTTGAATTAAATAGATATATTTTTATCGATGCATTTGCTGCAGGGATTCATAAAATCAAAGATGTATAAGGCTATTATGAAATCGCTATATGAAGTTTTTATAATTGACAGGATTTAATTTATCCATTTAAAACTTTTATCGTTATTACCGACAGTCTGCTTAGCGTTAATGGGAACACGCTTTTCAGTCGGGTCTTTAAATATACAACCGATTCGATCGGCATAGAGACTGGAACTAAAGAAACGTCACGCTTCGTACGTGTCACGCACAAGCTAGAAATATCTCACGTTCACGGTATATACTTACTTATACGTGTCTGCTGAGAATGTGGCTCGTCGTATCCCTCCGGTTTATCCGGATCTAGAAATATAAATACTTTCAACGACAAAATATAGTTGCATATCAAAAGCAAAAAATACAATGACTTATAATTATAAATTGTGTGATGGACTGTTATTATTTTTTTAAGATTAATCTAGAAAATATATTTTTTTAATATACAATTCCAATTTTATATGTGCTTGGATATTATTTTAATAATTAAAAATTTTAATAAGCAAATCAAAATATTCAATTATTTTCGTAAAAGTTTTAATTAAAAAAATTGCGATTTCTATAAAAACAAAAAATGTCGAATTGCTATCGTAAATTGTCGTACAAGGAGCAAACGTAAAGCACGAAATGTGAAGTGGAACGACAATCACCTCGTACAGAGAGCTGCACTGCATACATGATCTTAGGTTCCGTATTGACCTGGCACTCGTACTTGCCAGAATCCGTCTTTCTGGCGTTATCCAGCCTGAGAGTCCAGGCATCGCTGCCTGGCGTATGCTGGGCTCCGAATCGCGCATCCGAGCTGAACGAGAAATTTCCCGAAGTGAGAATATGGAGGTCCCTGCTCCTCATCCAGGAAACCTAAAATCAGAAATGCAATTTACTGGAATAGGGAATAGGGAAACATTCAATCATCTTGAAAATTTTGGCTTAAAAATTCATCTTTTACATTTAATCTTTTGGACTTACATCTTACTTATTGTTAAAGACATTAAAGGCTACATGGACCAAATAAATATGCGATAAAATAAATGTTTTTCTCTTAAAAGTTTGGAATTATAATAGAACGTTTAAAATCAAAATTTTTAATTAAAGTATGGTATCTTGTGCAAATCTTGAATCTTGTGTAAATCAATAAAATCACGTATTTAATTAAGCACAACTATTTTTATGACAAAATCAAATCATATTCTTCTATCATTTGATACTTGTTAATTAATCGCAATCTACACAATCTGTACAAATTCTTAGCTTAAGTAAATAAAATACAAAGACAATCTTTTTGAACGCTTTAAAAATGAAGAAATTAAATAAAAATCTTCGGCATTTCCGACGTTACCGCATGATATTCTTTACCCAAGTGTGAAAACATCTCGAGTAAATAAAAGTTCGTGGTGAACGTGGTAGTTCGGGACTGCATCTTCTACAGATCCCTCGCTGTAAGGATACAAACTAGGGGTAGTGGTTGGACGCGGGCTCGATAATAGCGGCACTCGGGAAACGTAAAGTTGCCAGACACCGTTGATGACGCGCATTTGTCAGAGTGGCGTCATTTAACCGATACGTGAGACCGCAAACGCCCGTCGTATCGGTGCGAGGACCGCTCCTCCTTAAAATCCGAGAAGGCTCGCGCAGAACGTGCACTTGCCTCGCGTAAATCAACATCCCCTCTTCCACCCCTATGACTTATTTCCCTCGTTCGGCGCGCGACGACCGACACGTAATACGTCGTAATACATAATAATACATTACGACGCGATGATAATAAAGTTAATGGAGCAGAAGCGAGAGAACATGTGGCGCGTAGGATGGTAACACAACGATGGGCGTAATGGCGCTAATGGATGCTCGATTACTCGAGCGGCACGCAATTATTATTAATTATCATCGATACTGTGTCACTGATAGCATATTAACTGTAATCAGTATTCTCTTTCTCTCGTTTAGAAACATTTCCCCACTGCGAGCTCGATTAGAATAAAAATTAATAATAAATGATAAATTTGTACTTTTTTTACGAAATAACCAAATGCTATTGATTGCAAAGAAATAATTTTCCCAATTCTTTGATATAATTTTATTATATATTTATTATATATATATATATATATATATATATATATATAAAATGTATATACATTATCTAAGAGATCCTTCAATTTTCCATTTTAAATACTAAATTAAATTTATGTTTTAATCAATAAAACACAAGTATTAAACGCTCATTGATTGTTTTAGCCTTAATTTTTTATTTATTGTGTTCTGCTATTAAATAATAATAAGTAGATTTAACATACAATCTGTTTGATATATAAAAAATATGTATCATGTTATATATCATATATTACACATATAACATTTTTAGAAGCATTAATTTTTCATAAATAAATATTTAATGTGTTCGCAAATCCTTTAAATAATCCTTTAAATAAAATTTTTGCATTTTGATATATATCACGTAATATAACTGACTTTTTTGACAGAGATTTCCTTAAGCCTATAATTTATGAATATTATAATGTAGCAATTCTCTTCCTCCTTTGTTTTAATAGAATTCTTAAACAAAACGCGACGAGTTAGGAAACTCAAAGAACATATCTGTTTTAAGCCAGCCAAGTATTACGTAATTCTCTGTGATTACTCATTCTCTTTCTCGTATTTGCCTCTGCGTTGTTCCTTAACGCTAAAGTCCCGCGCAACCTACTTCGGAAACACATTACTAATACTAATAAATTTCAGGAAAGTTTAGCCAATCTTGTTTCACCAATTAACACTCGCGCAGTATCGATATGTGTATAGCATTAACAAATAATTAAAATCACTATAAAATTTAATTATCAATATTCAGATACTATGTAAAATGATATACAGAATATCGCATAAGATATGATTAATCATTTTTATATATTAATTAATATCAATATAATTAATATCTCAATATATGACATATATGACAATTCTTCATTTAAGAATACATGCATTTATCTCAAGTACATAAAATTTATAATATTAATAAAATTATAATTAAATAAAATTATAATAAAATTATTCTTATTAATTAATCTTATTTAATTATAAATTTTATTATAATAAAATTTATAATTAAATCAGATTTAACGAAAGATAAAAGATTCGTCGATTAATTTTAAAAAGAATAATATAATCAAAATTTTTATGTTTTTTTAGAAAATCTTACCGGATATCTAATTATTTTCTACAATTTTAAAAATATTTTTTATTTCAATAAAACTGATTGTGTATTGCCTTTTTTAAGTTAAGAATTTTTGTTGATTGGATTATTCTTATTTGAGCTTTTTAATGTGTGAAATCGCTCTAATAGAACATTCAGTTTCAGCGGACGTTTGATGAAACAAGGTGAAATTTTTGCGAATGCAGTGTTGCCAGCAAAAGCTGTAATCCGATGAATATGGTTACCGGACATTGTGCCGTGGCTTATCCGATCCTCATATTTTTCGGCACTCGGCCGGTCAAACGGTCGGATATTAGATATCCGGTTATCGGCTGGTAGTCATTTCCGGTCTATACCCAGTTACCATTTTCCCATTGGCTATGCCATGAGACGTTTCACCGTGTATTAGCTTCGTCGAGGAACGCCTGGGAATACATGATACTCTTGATGATTTGTTGCCACGACGGCGTATCGAAAAAAGTTATTGATTCGCGGCCGCAAAAACGTGAGACATCCGCTGCCACGGCGGCTTAAAATAGGTTTTAATAATGTCATAAGTAGTGATGAGAATTCCAAACGTTGCGCCAATTTTCAATTTAATGTTGCTCCAAAATGCCAACAATCTTACAGATCAAACGATGCTTATAATGATGTAGATTCATTATGGCTGAATTATTATGTAAATATATTATTATTAATATAACATTGCTTATAATTATATCGCATATTAAGAGCGATTGTATTATTTCAAAGGATAATGATTCGAGAGTGATAACAATTTGACAATTTTCTAATCTCGGTTCAAGTTAATCTTGCTCTACAAGAAACGAATTAAAATATTTAAAGATAAATTCAAGACATAATCTTTTAAAATTTAGGTTGTATATTCGAGAGATTAAATCATACGAATTTCTTTGATTCATCACCGTCAGATACAACTGAGAACGTCCCATCGACGTGACATCGAGACTGCGAGGAGTCCAATAATCTGGTTGACAAAAAAAAGGGGCAACGGAGTCTCGAATATTTCGTCGGCATGGCAGTGGAACTCGAGATTTATCGTCGTTATTAAAACAAGCGCGGTGATACACGAGCGATCTCTGGTCGGGCAAACGTAGACATTATTCAAAGGGAACAAAAGAAGTCTAGATTAATCGGTAATTAAATCGACGGCGGAATACCGCAGTGTACTGATACACGCTCTCCCACCCCCTCACTCTCCCTCTCCTTCTAGCAACTTGCTTTTCCCGATTTTATCGGCGTGATTCGGAGTTATATGATATATTTGATTATCGGGTGTCGTTCGGTTTTAATAAAACATCTCGTTTTATTCGTAATCCGATAAATCCTTTGGCGCATCATTATAAATCTTCGCATTGCTAATCCGAAAGAACAGAAGACCGCTATTTGGTACGCGAAGAAAAACAAAGGGAAGTAGAAAAATCAAATTTGTTAACACATATATTGCTTTAAAAATATAATCAGGAGAAAAAATTTCGTATCGAGTAATCTCTTCGACTAACGCTTCGCTTCTATAAATTGCTTTCGTTCGTAAAGAAGCACGTTCTAGCTAAATTGCAACCGTTCTAGTGAATACAAAGCAAGCAGCGAATTGTACGACATGTGTTTGCAATATAATGTGCTTATGCATAAGCGACGTTGTAAGGAGAGCGAGCGCATCTATAATTAACTAAAGGTTTCTCACGTTGAATACGCAAACGTGTAATGATTCTGGCAAGGCAGAATCGGCGAAAGGTGAAACGAGCAGGATTTACATATGCTGCATGCACAACCTGCTATCGTATGACGTATATTATTACGGAAATTGTTACTAAGAATTTAATTACGCATGAATGCATCAGTTTGAACAATTATTTAAATAAAAAAGTGATTTACTCGTATGATATGCAAATCACATATATGTATAATATATATAAAAAAAGAGGAAAGAGAAAATCATATGTTTAAATTACCTCTACAAATAATAGGATAAAAATTAATTACTATCCTCTTTCATGTATTGCAACTGCTGGTTGATTACAGTCAGACTCACAATGAAAGCTAATTTGAGGATTTTTGCATCAATATCAATAAATATACATTGTATTTATCTTATTAGCGATATAAATTTCAGGCTTTCAGAGAAATACAGACACTGCGCAATTTCGCATTTGTCACTGCTCGTGATTAAATGCGCAGAATTATGTTATATGACAAATTACTAATCCAGTTTGGAAATGTCAATTTTATAACAATATTAATAAAATGTCATATTAAGAGTATCGAGAATATTAAGAGTGATCGTTCCATTATTCAGAGGCGAGAAAAACCGATTCAACATTCTAACACACGTACATAATGGAACATAATTCTCTCTATTTATATTTCCAACAAATTTTATCAAATTCATAGAGAAGCATAAAAATCTAAGGGATGTTTCCCTCGCATAAAATACATGCGTTTTCATATAACAAAATCATTATGAAAACACCGTAATTTGTAATAATAATAATCATGATAATCCCATTTAATCCCGATTGAGAGTTCTCTCCGAGGGAAAATATCCTCGAGGAATCTGCCTTTAGTGGAATGCAGCGCCGCATAATGCAGCCTTTGCGAGGAAAAGGATGGTGGTTGCTTCGGCAATAACATTAGAATGGGAGAGGGATTC